TCTCTCTTCGCCGCCCTGCAGGAAATTTTGCCCCACGAAGTGTGTGTGTGCGGCACCGCCGTCGCTTCGTCCAGGCTACTCGCCCTGCACCGAAATTGTATTAAACGCCGTTTCCTGGACCACGAGGTTGTTCCGGGACTTTTCGACGAACCAACCTCAAATCGGTTCTCGTTCGCCTCTCTCTCGAAAATTGTAGAAATTGAAAATTCTATGAGAGTGCAGAAGCGCGCGAGACGAATTTTCAAAATTGTATAAATATGAAAAAGCATTAGACAGCTCGCCTTTGACAGCTCTCATGGATGAAATCGCGAGGGAATCCTCACCGAAGGGAGGAAAGATCGAAAACGTATCTCCGATACCGCAGTAAGCAAATAACAATACGAACGAAGGCCTTGAACGCATCCTCCGTGCCACTTTTTCGACAAAAGCGCACCCGGTCGAGGATTAACCGAGGGAGAGCGGATAAATCGAGTCCTTCAGACGGACGAGGGGTTCTATACGCGCTTCCAGAAGAAAGGGATGTGAGAAAGAGGGATGGTTTCTCCTCGGCTGTGCGTTTAGCATGCGGCAAATCCTCCTCGGATTAGAAACGTATCTCGCTCAAAGGATCGGGCTTTAATCACCGCGCGATACGAAAACTCTCGATCCCGATTACAACGCATTCTCCGTTTTCCAAAAATAATTATTTGTAACGTCGACGATAAAGATCGAAAGCTGATTCGCCGCGAGCTGATTACGTACACACACATACATGCATACATACATACATAAGGCATACAATACGTGCGGTAGGCGTTGACGGTTCGCGCGGCAGCACCGGAAACTGAGAGAGCTCGCCCGTCTCTGTTCGTCGAATTACGCGAAAAAGGGGTCACGAAAATGTTTTACGAGTCCGTTTAAGGTACCTTCCTCTCGCGGAGGGGTCGGCGTCAATGGGACCGTGACGTCGTGCCGGAATCACGCACGACGTCGTGACATTGTGAGAACGGTGTGATACTGGGAGAGAAAACCGGAATACATTTCGGACAAAACGCGTTCGACGGTTTACCGCACCGCAGAGGGACATCCGGTGTGTGTACAACGAACGAGTTAAACCAACAATAAGAGGCTAGCAGCCATCTCCGACTAAAATATCGAAAATCCGTTTCGATGCTCAATGATAAAAGTGTGAATTTATTGGAGTCTATTTATTGGAGTCTAGAATAAAAATCTGAAATGAAGGAGACGAGGGAAAAAGAATTACACGAAAAGGCTGTCATCCACGATTTAAAAAAGTATTACACCATATTTTTATAATTTTTATATTTACAATGAAAAAAATGATGTGATCCTTGTAGATTATTCTAAACCGCATTTAAAAATAGTACAAAAAAGTTTAGCGACCGTCTAGAAACCGTCTAGATCAAAGATAATAAATAAACAAGTAGAAGTATGCTCTAATGGAAGTGTAATTAAAATAGTGACAAAATCTCATTGCGATGCAGAGATTAGTTGTTCTGTAAGTAAAATTTTATTTTATTCGTACCACCATTCATTTCTCTTGTACTCTTAATAAAAATCTAATTTTTATTTATGAGACAACTAATTTCCGCACTGCAATAAAACTATATATAAATCATCTTGGATACTTATGTTTAAAAAATTGAGATTTTTGAGATATTATTTCTTAATTACATTTCTATCTAAACATATTTTTATAATTTTATAATTTTAGATTCAAATTTTAAATCTAAAATAATACCTTTTTTATTATAGATAGATGTAATATATCTTTAGAACTCAGATAATTGTTAAAAAATATTATTAAAATTGATAGAATTCTTTTTATCGAAGAAATTCTCAGTTTGCAAAGAAAATTGTCATATCAACGTACGCACATACGCAAACGTATTCCTCACGTGTCCCGATGAAACGAACTGATTGTGAGATAAGAAGAGACGCTACCGTGCGGTAGCATTTGTAAAGAAAACGTGGGAAATTGTACGTTTTCAAATTGAAGTTGGAGAAGTTGATATTAATAAGCGCGACCTCGGGGCGCAGACTTCCCTTGACCCCCTTGAAAAATGACCCTGAGCCCCCGTCCGCCCCGCGGTGCACGAGAATCGTTTTATACCCTCTAATGGCTCGCCACTATTTCCATTTCTTTTATTCGCGTGCGCCGCGTTTTCCCGCTGTTTGCCGTTATTATTACTAATACTAAAGACCTTCCCATCGCCCCTGCGTGAATGCACGGGTTCTCGATATATTACAGGCTTCTCGATATATAGACGCCATTCTTTCTGGTATTCCCGCCTACGCTTTTCTCTCTCTACGCAACCTTCTTGGGTTTCGCGTTCTCGTTCCGTCTTATTTATTATCTTTCTTAAAGGAACTTTGAATTAATAAAGTCCCTTGAGGACGCGGGCATGTAAAAACCAAGTTTCGACCGCTTTATCTCGTAAATTTCGTATTTCATCGAATGTGAGGGGTGTGTAATTGGACGACGGCGTTCACGTGTATCTCCGTCCGCAAAGTTCGGAGTAATTTCTGTCGTGGATAAGTAAAATTGAGAACGTGCTATGTAATACAGGTATAGTTACGACTGCCTTATTGCCGGCTGCCTTATTGAGCGCACGAAACTTCTCTGGATGTGTGGAGAACTGCGTGAATGTAAGTCGGCCGCAATCGCACGTGGATAATCCAGTGACTAAGGGTCGCGTTCATTTAGCACTTAAATACGAGAGAGGGGGAGAGAGGGAGAACAGTTTTTAGCCCGCAATTACTTCAAATGCGATCTTCATACTCGTGAACGAATAAAACTGTGGATTTGCGTTACATCGTGCCAACTTTCCTCGTAGACACTTCGAAGAAATGTGTGCATTTAAAAGATAATATAGAATAAAGATTTTGAACAAAGTTTAATTTAAAGATAAAAACATATAAAAACATAAAAAAAATTTAAGCTTAAATAATAAGATATAAATTTAATTAAAATAAAATAAAATGTACGCACGCACACAGTAAGTACACGGAAGGAGAAAACAGTTTTGCTGGCAAATCTAAAAATTCGATCAGATACAGATCTGGAAATATTATGGAGGACGCTTGAACACGATGATAATACTGCAAAAATTTTTGATTTTCTAGTTTTCAACCAATTTGAAGATCGTTATTTTGAAGGTAAAATTATTTTCAGATTATTTTCTGTAAACTGACCAAGATTTTTAGATTTGCCAGCAAAAATGTTTCTTTCCGCGTGCGATATATTCTTCAAGAAAAATATTTAATATAATTTAGTTAGTGAATAATAGTGTACGTTATTGCTTTGTAAATTATGGCTGCGAGTTGAGGGATTTTTCCGTGCCACTCCGGAGACAAAGTTGATGCAGAAGGGTAACTTTCTCGCGGTAGTCGGTTGGGCGAGTCAAATTAATTTGCACGATTACATCAGGGAGTGCCCGCCGCTGCTTTCCGCTGCGAGCGCATGCGGCAATTCAGCGAATTTTTTGCAACGTAGCAATAACGCAGTTGCGGCGAGCGATCGGGAGGAAGAAAGGAACGTAGCAATTGATATGGGAGAAATCGCACTATCGGAGGAGCACTATTTAAAATGAGAAAAGCAAATAAAAAGAGAGTGAAAACGGCGATATAACGAGGCTAGAAATAGAAATGGAATGAGCGACGGACAAAGATAGATAAACGCAAGTGAGCAAAATACAAATTGTAGAAAGGAGGCGGATAAGCGAGACGGATTACGCGATAAGTTTCGGGATGTTGTTCCAGTTCGAGTGCACTAATATCATATAGAAAGCGCGCGCGGGGGAGTGGAAGGTGGGAAGGGGGGAACACGAGAACGCGATAGAGCTCCCCGCGGAGGGTGAAGGCGAGACTATGGCGGAGAGTAGTCGGCTTTGGGGAGTCGGGGAACAACGACAACGACGATGGTGATGGTATCGGGGGTGGAGAGAGAAGACGGAGGGAGAAAGAGAGAGAGAGAGAGAGAGAGAGAAAACAGAAGAGCGGCAGCTTGTAATACCGCGAGAGGTGATTGCGTTAGAACGAACGAGGCGGGGGAGATAGAGATAGAGGAAGAGTGATTGAGCGAGCGAGAAAGAGAGAGAGAGAGAGACGCAGCAGCAGCAGCAGCAGCAGAAGTGGCGGCGGAGGGTTCAGATGAGGTCAGGTCACGGGACGAGAGAGCCGAGCCACTCGCTCGGTCGATAGAACGGAGTTACCACCTATACTATGCGGTAGTGACGGTGGCGG